TTCCAAGCTGTTCTGCACTTGTTGAAAAAGCAAAAAAAGAGAAGAAAAAAGGAAAAAAATTACAGCACCAGGTGTGTGCCTGCTCTCACACCTGTTGTCTTTAGTCGAGGTAACCCATTGTACTGTTTCTCAGTGTGGGACATTATGACAGTGGCCCATGCACCTCTCCAGTGTCAGGTGGTGCAATACCACTGGTACAAGTCTGAGTGGATGCACTCCCTCGTTTAGGAAGTAGAACTGGGTTGTTACTTGGTAATGCAATACAGGACACCCCACAACATTATGAACCAAGTCATTCCTGGTGGCTAGGTACAGCTAGATGGGTCTTGGGTTTCCCATGGAACACTAGTATGGGATGCTACTCCATACACCTGATTTATTTGGTATCTGACTTGTTTCTCCAATATGGAATGGCCTGGCTTACAGACCTATCCACATGACACACTTATGTTTGGCTGTCTGCCCGTGAGATAGTGAACAGTTGAACAATCTACCATTCCACCCAGCTTAGTGAAAAGACAGCACCAAGCAAAAGATTCTTATGACAAAATCTTTGTTTTATCACTTCTATTGAGTGAAAAGTATTCCTTACTTGAGATGAATTCAGTCTCCTATCAAGATTGAGTGCTGCTCCTCAAGACTACCCCTATGGGATTCTAGCTCTTTGTGGTGCAGAGAAAGATAAGTAGCATTTCTGACGCTAATATTTTCATTACCTGAGAATGTATTTCAGATAAATACTCAACTCTTTGCTCTACCTCCCACCCTTCCTCTGCATTGCCAATGCATTTAATTTGTGTTGTCAAGGATTATCATGTGTTCACATGCTTGTGCTTATGGGGATTGCTGCACATGGTGAGGGCTATATTGTAATGATAATTACATCATAGGCTGGCACAATATGTTGATATGTGTAGAGATGGGAGCTGTTTGTGGTAGATAGAGGTATCTGTCTGAAATATATTTTCAGGTAAGGAAAATGTTAACTTATGAAATTGCAAAAGCATTTTGTTGTTGTTGAAATTTTTTACAGTTAATAAATAATTCTCAGTTTGAAATCTCATTCTGATTTATTATCTTTGTAAATGTCCAATATAAAACTTTCTGTAGCTTAAATTGTTTTCAGTGGAACGAAGACTGCAGAATTTCGAAGCTCCTTCTCTGTCACTGAAAGCTGCAGGTTCATCACATTGTATTGTCATCAGAAAAAGGTGATATAGTTCAGTATTTCCTTTTCTCTTGTTATTAGCATATTGTGTTTTAAAGTACAGAAGGTAAGATATTAATTTTGTACATGCACAAGTTAACATTTCCATTGTATGGTATGTATGCATGAATAAATTAGCATCCTGCTTGAAGGTAATTAAACCATTAGCTGGAACAGATATATTATATATATATATATATATATGCTTCATGAAAGGAGGTAAATGGAAAACTTTACAAAGTAAATAGATATAATTTCTGACTATTTATAATATTTTCCAGGAAAAAGAATGATTAAAACAAGAATTCAAAAAATTACTAGTACCAATTTATTGTTGAACTGCTGAAAAGTTTTGTAATTTAAAAGTGTAAGTACATGTTATATTATGTTTGAAAATTATTTCATGTCTTTAGTTACTGGGACTCAAGTTATGATGAAGATCTTTATATTGACAAGGTAGCATTAAACTTGCTGTATGTTCAGGCAGTAAGTGATGTGGAACTAGGCTGGGTGATAACAAACAAACAGATCAGACGACAACTTGCCACTCTTCAGTCAAAGGGGTCCAAACAAGAGGTCAGAAGTTTACATTGTAATGAAGATGTAATTACTACTTTGTTTTCTTTGGTAGTAATATCATGGTGTTTGGCTGTGTAAATATAACAAACCTGTATCTTTATTCAAGAAAATATGTATAATTTACCTCCAAATACATTCATTTGCAGTAAACTAACTTCATTTGTTCATTACAAGTTAAAAGACGCATGGTAAAAATATACTGCAATACTTCTTGTGAATGTTAATCAGTTAAATATTGTCACAGATATTACCTGTTCTCTGCACATTTGTGGAAGAATTTTACCTTAATGGGAGATGGTTTATTTGTATTGCATATTTTAGGTCAGGGTTATATCTTTCTAGGGACAGCATGGGTCATTGGCTTCATACTTTGGACTTGTGGTTGGATGGTTACGAGTTCAAGGTTAGCCCTCATCATACTATTGTGTCCTAGAGCAATATACTTTAATCCACTCATTCTAGTCTGATGAGTTATATGGTGGGTACCAGTTGATAGCTGGGGGGTCAACCTGTGGTGGACTGGCATCCCATCCAGGAGGAATAGCTTACCATTCTCATCTGCTTGGGCCACTTGGAACTGGAAAGTACCAGTCCTATGTATCTTGCTGGTACCAACTAGCATGAACAAGATACATTTTGGTGCAGATTTTATTTATACTGACTTTTTCACCTTCCAAAACTTTCAAAAGTATATTTGAGGCTTTCCGTTACAGTTTTTTTCACTTTGCAATTAAATAAGTTTTAAGAGTAATGGTATTTGATTTTGGTCCACCAGTTGTTTGTTTTACTTGATAGTGCTAATGATAGGGAGTCCCACAGAATTACAGTTCCCAACCATGAAAGTATATTAATGCAAAGTTGCAGTTGTAAATATATAAATCTCCCATAAACCAAACACTAAATTATTATACACTGAAAAACAACTAAAAAACATCTACAATACTATTACATGTTGAGTTTGCACTGTTTATTTCAAGGCATCCATACTCTCACTAGTAGTGAATTAGCTATAATAAAATTGCAATGATTGCTACCTTTCTCTCATACAGAGGCAACCAACGAGCAAATGTTAGAACCAAACACAGGGTGTTGGCGAGTTTTCTTGACCAATAAGGGTCAATGATATATCAGATGATAGCTCTCATTATGCTATACATTGATCTAGGTGGTTTCTTTGTATCCAGAAACATTTTCTATTTGAAAACGCAAGTATAATTTTAAATCATTAATAAATATTTTTAATCATTCAATTTGTAGAAACAAAGTCATGCAAGAAATTGTGTGGTCCATACTACATAATGCCTAAATAAATAAATAAATGAATATATATATATATATATATATATATA